TTTTTTGAGATAGAGTCTCGCTCCTTTGCCCAGGCTGGAGTGCAGTGGCGCCATCTTGGCTCACTGCAACCTCCGCCTCCTGAACTCTAGCAATTCTCCTACCTCAGCTTCCTGAGTAGCTGGGACTACAGATGTGTGCCACCACACTTGGATTTTTTTTATTTTTTATTTTTTCGTAGAATGGGGTTTCACCATATTGGCCAGTCTGGTCTCAAACTCCTGACCTCGTGATCCGCCCACCTCAGCCTCCCAAAGTGCTGGGATTACAGGCGTGAGCTGCCGTGCCTGGCTGAGAACTCTTTTAAATAAAAACATTGATTAAAAGTATTTGAGAAAAAACTAATATTGCTGATTAGATGACAAGGTCATACCAATATTTTCTTCCCTGGAGCCTCCCTGTCAGTTACAGACTTTACGTATAGGCAAAGATGAGAGGAAACTGACTCAGCGTGGAGTAGGGTTAGGGGTGGGGAGAGAGAGAGAGAGAGAGAGAAGACAGAGAAAACAGGAGGGTAAAGGCTTGGAAGCCAGAGTACCAAGACAGAATAGGGCCTGAGTCAAGAGATTCTTACCTTAAAGCCAAACAAATGGCTATCATAGATGAGAGATCTCTGCATGTTCTGAAATTAAAAGATCATGGAACACATTGTAATGTCAAGTCAAGCATTCACAGAAGGAAAACATACACTATTGCTTTTGGCCAAATTAAGTCATAATTGTACAACACATTTTTGACTGAGACTAAGATCACAAGCTGGGTCTTGTCATCCCTGTCCAGCAGGCTGGGTTTTCAAATCATGTGGTCTGTTAATGCTTAAACAGATATAAGTGATTAATAACGATCCTATATACTTTTGGAATATCACCATGTAGCTTGTTATTGGTAAACTTTTGTAAGAGGCTGAAGGTACTGCTTGTAGCTTTATATTTCAGGAGTGGGGTCCCGGTTTAAGTGACCATTCTGCTTTTATGTTCCTAGGTTTCGTAGCTTGACGACAGCGTTCTTCAGAGATGCTATGGGTTTTCTTCTACTTTTTGATCTGACAAATGAGCAAAGTTTCCTCAATGTCAGAAACTGGATAAGTAAGTGTTATTGTTTCCCCGTATCCTGCTACATGCTCCCCTATTTATAAAATGCCTTTCTTATGCTATAAATTGTTTTAGAGGAGCTCTTAGTGCAAATACGATTTTAAGGAGCAAGGTTTTTAGTTTAGGGGCAAAGATAATTGAAATACCCTGCTTCTTCCTAGTACTGATGACTTTGATTTGTTGAGTACTTCCTGTGCTCCAGATAGCAGGCAGCACTTTATGTATGTTCTCCTTCTCAGCCTATCCCACAGAAGAGACTCTTATTCCCATTTTGTAGATGAGGAAGTAGAAGCCTAGGCAAGTTAAATCAGTAAGTGTCCCCTTGTCTATTGTGTGCTATCAATTCTTCTACGATCTCTGGGCATTACATATATATTACATAGATGCAGATAGCTTTTGAAGGCTTAATGGATTATACCCCTGGCTTCATGTCTTTTCTGTGCTTAGAGTCCCCTTCTAGCTTTTAGGGTTAGAGCATTTTTCAGGAGGATTCTGCCATCGAGAACTCTACTGCAATGGTAAAAGTGGTCCCCAGTACAATGTATGTCAACCTTTATTTTGGAGAGATTTTAACCTCTGAAATGATTGGTTAATAGCCATGTAGAACCTTGCCACTTGACTGCATAACAGCTTTCAAATCTATATTTTCCTTCTTTGGTCATATTAGTATAACCCTAGAGAATTTATTAGAGAAGGCTGTAATATTAAATTCTTAACATCTAAATCTTTAAAACACTGATAAAAAATATATTACTTACAAATTACTTGCTGTTTGGGAATTATGAAAGGGTAATTGGCTGTAGTTTGGATAGTAGAGAACCTTATTTAAAAAATGAGTTTAAAAATAATTTATCTAGTACGCTGTGGTTTTCACATACTTTGTATCTGATGCTCATAGTCATCCCGTGCAGAGGCTCGGGTCAATGTTGTGTCCTTATTTCAGGAGGAGGATATTGAACCTTAAAAAGTTATAGACTCATCCAAGGATATGAAGCTTTGAATTTCAGTTCAATGGATTTTTATGCCCATTCTCAAGTCATTTGGCCACTAAGAATTGAAGAGCTATTAATTACTTTAAATATGAGTTCCCCAAATATAGTAATGCTTACTGGGGCTTCCCTTCATTAGATGTCTGGCTGAGTTGCATACCTCATTACTTCCCTTGTAGATGAATGGCAGTGGTTATTTATGGTCTTACTCTCAGCCCATCCTCATCATCCCTCCTTTGCATCATCAGAACAAGTTCTGGGGCTTTTAAAAACCAACCATTTTATAAGGATCACTAGCGAGTGCTCACAGAATCTCTAATTTTTAAATTAGCATTGAAAAATAAACAACCCATCTGTTTTTCATAGGTAGACGCTAAAAGTCTGAGACATTAGATAAATATTGCCCATCTAGGCTAACTAGTTGGATAAAGAACAAAATTATGTGAAAAGATGTATACATATCTATGTATTTTGTTTTGTTTTCTTTAGAGAATAAAAGAATCCTTATTGCTCAGTTAGGTAAAGAGCACTTATACATATTGAAGATTTTATATCTCTAATAGAAAGTATTTTCCACCCTCTACCATTTAAACAAAAAGGTATAATGTTCAGTGTCAGAATTGGTAATATCAAATCTTAATTAGGAGCAAAAATTTGTTAGTTATCTGTAGTTTTAATTTTTATTCTTTCTGTCAGCATTTTGAATATTAAAAGGATCATTCATTTCTTGTCTCTTAATCAAAATAATAGCTTAATACACACACACATAGACATACACACACACCCACACCCACACACACACACACATCAGTGGTGAGTGCCAGAACACATTGTTACATTAAAGAAGTAGCTGGCTCATGGGCCTTGACTGGCCGAGGGGGGAGAAGAACAGGTCTCTACTCTTCCCTTCCCCTTTGCTCCTTGCAGACTCTTCCCTCTCACTCAGTCTCTCCATGCCCTCTTAGGAAGGGTGAGAAGAGTCTAACGTAAGCCCCACTCAGTTGAGGAGACAGACAGAGGCTGAGTCCTCTGGGGCTGGATTGAAATCTGAAAGGAATTTGGTAGTGTGGTGGTCACTGCCCTGTTTTCCTAGAGTTCAGAAGAGTAGGCAAGTCGTGCCCAGAGTCACTCTTCATTCAGTGCTAGTGTGTTTCGCAAGGAAACTTTCAAGTAGCCTACATTTCTAAACTTTCTTCTGTAGACTCACATGAGGAGTACAAGAAATGAACAGTATATATTTTCATATTTTTGCCTCTCTAATTTTTATTCCCATTATTCTCTGTCTAAAAAACCCTTTCACACCCACCCCAATTCTTTAGCCAACTGGAATTGTGCTTATTCTTTGAAACCAAGCAAAGATGGCCTCTATGATATTTTCTGTGGTACCCTTAGTCGTGTTAGATGTTTTCCGTCCTCTTAACCCCTCTTGCATTTTATACTGTTTATAGGGTTGTTATTACATCCAGTATCAGCTTGTAGTTATTTATGTATGTGACTTTTACCTAAGTGAAGTTTTTAAAATAACTAATTTACTTTTTAGATAAGCACAGTCTTAGTAGAAAAAGTAGGAAAAATGCAACGAAAAGAAGAAATCATTAATCATCGCACTTCCTAGATTGCCCAAAATAAATACTGTTAACCATAATTACTGGTGATACCTACATCCTCTTCTAAATGCTTTAATAAATTAAGTTAGTAGTTTTCAAATGTGAATGTGCATCTCAGTTGCCTGGAGGAATTTTTAAAAAACAGATTTCCAGCCCCACTTCCAGCATTCCTGATTCAGTAGATCTGGGGTGGGACCTGAGACTTGCATGCCAACAAATTCTTAGGTTATGCTAGGGCTGGTGGTTCACAGTCTTTACCTACAGAATCACTGAATTAATTCATTTTAATCCTTACCTTGACTATATAAAGTAAGCAGTATCATTATCGCCATTTACAGACGGGGAAACTGAAGCAGCCAAATAACTTCATCAGGGACCCATAACTAGTAAATGGCAGAGCCAGGACTCAGCCCTAGGTGCACTGGATCCTGAGTCCATGCTCATAGCCATGACACTGGGCATGGGCTTGTAACACCTTAGAAGGTGTTAACAGAGCACAGAGCCACTCTGGAGACCCGAAAAATAATGAGGTAACCATGAAGCAAGTGTTGAAGGAAGGTTGCGGTTAAGTATTCAACAATGTGGGAACAGCACGTGTAGCCACCCGGAGGAAAGAAAGGGCATGGCTTTTCATGAAATGATACACAGTTTGGTCTCTCCTCTGTAGGTCTTATTACCCCAGTTGCCCTATGAAGGCAAAGAACTGTTGTGAAAAACCATGCAGAGTATCAGGCCTGTACTAATGCTCAGTAAACACCTGCCTACTTGACTTCCTCATGATAAGATACAATAAACCCAACTTCCTAATGAGGAACTAAAATGTCCACACTTTTCTGGTTAACCATGATGAAAAATAAATTAGGCCATAAACTTTGAAGTATGTCTTATTGTGAAAGTTTAGGCCCTTAATTTTATTCTGGGGTGTAATGAGTAAGAAATGAGGCATTATTTTCCTACTTTGAAAGATTGAACTATTTAGCTTAGTGAAGTTCTTTTGTTCGAGTCAATAGCTTTTTATAATTGTGCCTATTTTCAGGTGAAATAAATGCTGTGGATAAGAATTACAGTCCTCAGCTTCCACTTGATTCTGGTGACAGAATCATTTACTGTTATTCTGGGCCTTTTCTCCTCATTGAAGTCTGTATCTTGTTTGTTTTAAATGAATTGATTCTGCCCTAGGATAATAGAAAAATTTGAAAAACATTTTGGATAGAAATAGGTTAATTTGGAGAAAAACAGTTCGTTTAGAAATGTCATTGCTATGGAGAAAAAACCACATAAAAACAGTTTTAAGATTAGCAATAAACCCTAGGGACACCTCCAAGTTTCTTTTCAAATAGCCTTCATAAAAAAGAAAGGTGTTTTTTTTTTTGTGTGTGTGTGTGTGTGTGTGTGTGTGTGTGTGTGTGCGCACGCACACATGTGTATGTGTACATGTGGGCCCTCACACTTGAGAGTTAGCCCATTCTCTTATAAACTCTCTGATAGCAATAAACCGGGGTATGTGCTTAAGAACAGGAATGGTTTTATATTTCTGCCCCAACTATTCAGATTTCGGATAAGATTATTGATACTTTGAAAGCATTATGTCAATTCCCAGTATCTATATGTGTATTACAGTCTTCAAAGCACTTTTGCATGTATTGTTTGTTGATCATACACTTACATTATTATTTACATATAATAAACTTTTCTATATGAATAGGCCAGCTACAGATGCATGCATATTGTGAAAACCCAGATATAGTGCTATGTGGAAACAAGAGTGATCTGGAGGACCAGAGAGTAGTGAAAGAGGAGGAAGCCAGAGCACTTGCAGAGAAATATGGGTGAGTATTTTTGTGGACAAGTCTAGAGAAAACATTTTCAATAGAAACATTAGCAAGTGAATGGTAATGAAAAAGACCAAAGTGGAACATTAAAGCAAATTATATGATAAAAGGCCCATAAAAAATGCATGGGGCAAGGGCTTCTCTCAGTGCTTTGGTTCC